TTTTGTCCTCTCCACAGCTCTTGAGAGCCTCCCTCAGCTTTTCCGTAAGAGTCCAGATGAGAGCCAAGACCCAGTGAAGGAGACTGGGGGATTTAGCACACACTGACTCTGCAGAGCTGGATCTCTTTGTCCCTCTGCTCCTCACTTTTCTCTCCTAACCCTACGGCACAGACCACACTCTTTGCCTGTCTTTCTCTGTTTCATTTTAATTCTACATACATTTTTAAAACCTGCCAAAAATAGAATATGAGAAATGACCCTGTGTTGTGGATTGGACACACAAAATAGACAGCACAGATGAGCTGTAGTTGAGAGTACAGCAGTGTGGTTGGTAGTTGAGTGAAGTGGTCCATTGGCACAGTGACACAAACCGCCTCTGCTAATCCTCATGCTGTCTGCCTGACTGTCACACACATTTTAGGTATAAATCCACCCTTGAATATGCTCATTATTTTCAATTTGTGATGTTCGACACATTGAAACAATTGTTTTGTGTGTTAAATTGCAATTTTATGGTGCGCCACTACTCCCTCAACCTGCTTTATATTATTCTACCCAGAGTATTGATTTCCCACAAAGGAAAAATTATTTCTCAAGCTTCAGTGCCAAAAAGATGAGGAGCCAAACATGTAAAGCACGTTTAGAGGTTGAAGCTCTAAAAGCAAAAATAGCTGCAGTGAGAGCAGGAGAGTGAGTTTTGGGAGTTGAGCAAAAACAGCACACAAGCTTCAACATGCAGCTTGTCTTGTGGCTGCATTGCACTTTTTGTTTGGACAGTGATCTGCAGGAATAGAAAAGAATATCTAAAAATGCATGAAGAGATTAGTATTGTCTGATATTTACATTGCACTTTGTTAGTATAATAAATATTTTAGAGGAAATGTGCATACTGTGTTAATGGCATAAGATTAGATACACTTTAAATCCCACCTTGGGGTTTTATTTTTCACAGCATTAACATTGTTTTAAAAAAACAAATAGAAAACATTTGAATACAATTACATTTTCATTTACTATCAACAAAATCACATTGAGAATACCAATTATAAAGAATGAGTTAAAATACTCCATAAAACAATAACAGAACAATCTACCAATAAAAAAAATATATATAGAGAGAAGAGATAGAATTAGAATATAAATAAAATTACTGGAAGGGCCTAAACTGCTTTAAATTAAATTCAATCTATATATGGACCTTTTTGATGAACCCGATAACATGATTTAATAAGTAGTAACTTTTAGCGTGGATTTATTCTTATTATTTTCTTTGGATTTTTTCTTTTCTAAATGTTATTTTTGTATTCTATTTCCATTCTTGACATGTAACCTGGATCAACCTTGAACATATGAAGAAAGCCTAAATAAAGTAAAACAAAAAACAAGCATAGCAAGTAAAGAATAATCAGGCAATAGTAATTGGTACAGAGGAAGAGTGCAAGTGAAACAGAGCGGGTGAATGATGGGAGGCTGAGAGCGAGAGGGTGAATGATGGAGGTGCCGTCTCTGTGCGAGTCCTGCTCTCTCACTCATTAAGACAGTAATTCAACCCCGGGATTAGAGTCACACTCATGCAGCGAACCCAACGGCTGCGGATGATGAATGGTGTTTGCGGGCCGTAAAACCTCAACGACCGCCACTATTGTACATGAAAACTAGAGTTAAAGTTTCGCGTTGTATGCCTCCGCCAGCCCAAAGTTGTAGTTTACATCCATGTCGGTCCTAACTCGTATAATATTTCTACTGAAGACTTTTAGGGAATACAATAAAGGTTATTTAGTGTGTTTTTTGGACAGAATTATCACTATATTGACATGATGTATGCACAATCTCTCTTCACCTATAATCTTGTTATTTTAAAAAGACATATTCTGCTCATTTTCAGGTTCACATTTTTCTTTTGTGCCTCTACTGTAAGATGTTTAAATGCTTAAGTATTCATAAGACGTCTTTTCACCCTCTGTCTGAAACCAGAGCCCAGTCTGCTCTTATTAGTTAGCTGGCCGGCTCTGTTGTGATTGTTCAACCAGAGTGCAATTTGAGCGCTAACCAATAAAAGCGCAAATCCTACATAGTGATGTCATTATGATAAGGAAGTAAACAAAGGAGGCCAATGGAGGCGTTTCAGGCAGGGGGGGAGTGTGCGGGAGGGAACTTTAGGATTTTAGCCTTTGGAGACCATTTACATGCACTGAAACCTCTATAACACAGTACAGGAAAGGGAGAACCCCAAAAAACATAACGGGGCCCCTTTAACAGAGGACTGAGATTCGTCACAAAGTGCAATCACCTGAAGCTCAATATATTCAAAAACCATTAACCTCCTCGTATGTGTTCACATTGGCAAATAAAGATGATTGTGATAGACAACCAAGCTGTCACCGCAACAGTTGAAAAGGCTTCACATGTTGCTGAAAAGAAGCTACACGTTCTAAGTGTCGGTGCTTAACACGCAATGTCAACAGGCTGCTCAGAAGACACACAATCCCCACTTTAAAAAGGTGTGCACTCAAGAGTGTCATCAATTCAATATCTGACCAAAGTGTGTAATAAAGTAACAATCATCCATTATTTTACAGAGGTATGCCTTTGACTTATGGTCATAAAATAGCTTTTGCGTAATATTATGTTAAGTTCACCTTTGTATATATTATGTCAGCACTTCATCCTTCTTTTCACAGAAGACATTTGTACGAAATGTTGTATTATTAGCATATGAACTTTAGAGTTATGGCCAAAAACGTGTTTTTTGAGGCTAAAGTGACCTTGACGACCTAATTGTTATAATTCCTATGAGTCCAAGTGGACGTTTGTGCCACATTTAAAACAAATCCTTCAATGCGCTCCTGAGACATACTGTTTACAGGAGTGGGCTGAAAGGATAAAGGGAACACCTGAAAACATAACTCCCCCTTTAAAAGAGAAAGCCATGTTTGTGGTCAAGATCGCGGAGTGTGTTTACGTGAATGTATGTGATCATTCCTGCACTCAACTTGCACTGTTGTGTCACAATTTGATTTCACCATTATACTTCCTTAAGGATTTCCATTGCAAACAACTAAAGTGTAGCTATTGTGCATCTAAAATCTTTAGCAAAAAGCATCACAAGAAGGTGTGTGTGTGTGTGTGTGTGTGTGTGTGTGTGTGTGTGTGTGTGTGTGTGTGTGTGTGTGTGTGTGTGTGTGTGAGGAGAAAAGAAGCCCGCAAGGCGGACTTAGTTGTCCTTGGGAGAGAAATCACTAATGAGTTCTGTAAAGCTCTATAATCATCTTTTGTCCATCCACTATAACTGACCTGAGGTACTCCCAGTGCAACAGAGCTTGAAAAGAACATTTCAATTACAAATCACGTTGAACTCAAGGGCCAAGGAAACAACTATAGCTCAGAACAGGCTGACATGTGTGTGAAAGAAAGACAGAGAGTGAAGGAAACAGTAGTGGGGCTGGAGGGTAAGAAGGATATTCCTCCTCTTCTAAAAATAAATGAAATATACATGAAAGGTAAGCAGCTGACTTCCTTAAAAAATGTCTCACATGTGAATCCAAGACCTTTCTGAACAAGACAAACAACAACTTCCAGCCTTTGGGGAGTTGAGAGCAGAGATGCTGCTTGTTTGTGACAGGTCTGTGCCTGAGAGTCTGTCATCGCCTGAGGAGCAGTCGCTCTGCATGTGACTAAAACCATGAATACAATTATGGTGCTCCTCTGAGCAGAGTCACTCCTCAACAGGACGTGGGAAATATCGAGGCCAAAAACTATCTGTGTGAACATCATCCCAGGATTACAGATACTGCGTCATACTTTAGTTTCCTGTTAATGCAATTTTACTTCCAAACGTCATCTGATGCTTTACAAAAGCTGCGTAATGTCTCTTTAAACATCAGAAGAAACATGAGAGGAGACGTCTTAATTCAGTTAGTCGTTCAGCCCCTTATGATAAATGGAATATGAATTACCTAGCCTTTTTCGTGATGATAATCATCTTTGCTGCTACTCTAATTTACACTCCATTCATACACAGACAGTTGCTGATTACTTGGGGGGGGGGGAGAGTCTCTCCAAGGAAATGTAATTGCAAACGGCAAATAACCTGAATTCCTGCAACCCACACAAACCTAAATCAGGATATTAATTTACCACTTATAGCCGTGTCACTCTAATTTTGGTAATTTTCATGCTTTCCTTTAAAAGATTACAATACTCAAGCTCATGAAAGCCAGAAAATACTGGTGTGAAATGTGTTTTTTCGAAAGTGAAGGAAAGATATTAAACGGATAAAGGTTTTTTTTGTGTGTAAAAGCACCACTTATCAGCTCCAAATATATTTTTTGCAGCAATCATACAGACTCTTAGATCAACAGCTGCTTTGCATTAAATACCACATGTTTTTATATTTCAATCAGTTTAAAGTTTCCCTTATTATTCAGAAAACGCATACAGCTGCTGTTCCTTGCAGTTGTTCTTGGCAGTCCGCAGTACCAACCTCTTTATTTAACAGTCCATTAGTGATTACAGCACAGAATAATAGTTGGTGATGGCCCCACTGAGCAGAAAGTCATCGAGGGGAAGCAGAGCACCGCGGGGGAAAGAGTTATTTATGGAAATAATGTGGCTTTGATCACTCGTGGTGGTACGGCTCAGAAGTAAATAAGTTACATTGGGGTTAGAGAAATGTCCTTGGTGGGGTTGCTATGGTGACATCGAAATGTGTGTGTGACAGAGAGCTGTTAGAGGATGATGCGTGAGAGCCGTAAGAGTGTGTGTCTATACAGTCCTGTGTAGTGTAAGAGAAAAGAGAAAACACTGCATCAAGTTGGTTGGATCGGCAGCTGTGTGACGCATGTTGAACATCCTCATTGTTCCCATAAGATGCTTGAGATAAAAACACATATGCACTGAAAGTAGGTTATACTGCGCACTCTTGGCTTGCTTTGTGCTCGAGGATCTTTTGAGAGCAATGAATGGGAGCTATGCATTACAGGCCTATATGGAGTACTTACAGGGGATGGTGCGCAGGTAGAGGTTGTCCCGTATGATCTGCTGGAGCTTGTGGTCCATTGAGCCCTTCTGAAACTGCAGACTGAGGTAGTGGCGCAGGTCTGTGTTCAATACTTTCCCTGCAGAAACAGAAGCAGAGGAAGAGAGGGTCAATAAAAACATGGCGGTGCTCTCTCTGAAGTGTTTACGCCTAAAAGGAAATCTATCCAAGTGACATGTACCCACACAAAGGGGTCGATGCCACAGAACCGAACTGTTTTTCTACAAAACAGATACGCTTTCATAGATGTTAATTGTCGGGTGTTTTCTTCAGATATTGAGTGCTTATTATAATAACTATCATTATCATTAAAGTGGCAATCTCAAAGATTGAAGGTAACAATGGTGATTGAGTTTATGATCCACTGATTTAATAATTGCAATAATTATCTGTTTGCAGCACTATAAACTTTGCACACAATTCTGACAAATAGAAGCTTATGTATTAACAACAAGACCCAGAGCTTAAAGTCTGCCAGGAGTAAAACATACTTAAAATCTCAGGGATTTAAAGTACCCTTTTATGTTTTGGGGGGGATTCCCTTTCCTGTAGTTTGCTATATAAATTTCTGTTCATGTAAATGGTCTGCCAAGTGAGAATGATAAAGAACATTTTAAGCATTAAACCAGGTAGACATGTCACAGTTGAGGAACAAAATACAAATATGAACCTGAAAATGTGCATCATAGGGCCCCTTTAAGTGTATTTTTACATAATTACCGATTACATATATATTGAGGCAATATTAAAGGCAGTGCCAGCAACATTAATATTAAAACATAGAATATAGGCGAATGTTAAGTAAATTACATGGACATTAACAAATGAATGGTTTCATTGGTTTTCATTTCAATAAAGTATCTATCTATCTATTTCACGTCATGCTCTATGACAGTGCAGAGGTCAGTTGAACTGGGTCACAGTTATCCAGTAAAACCATATTAATCTCCATTCTAATGAAAAATGTGATGCACCTGATGCAGGTGTGTTTTCTCAGATTATGTGACACTCTTAAGCAGGTCAAATAAATGAAACCACCTCAAAGCTCTTCAGATCAAATCAAAACTTACAGTTACACAAACATTTTTGGGCAAACAAGGTCTTCACTGATAGTCACAATATTATCCACAGCATTAAACATAAAGTATACTCCTGTATGCATAGTATGTATGACCACCTGTTCTGTCTAGCTGAGGGCTCAAATCCTTGTTGATTCACCTTTTCACTCTAGTTTGATCAATGTGAGGAGATTGTAGTTGAGGGCGAAGGTTAAACAGATTATAAAAATCTGATCTCCTCGGTTAAATCCACTTTATCATTCAGGATATATTAACTTTTGGGATATGAAGGAGGATATTTGGCCTAGAAACAGTTTCAATGTGTTAAGAAAAGGGAGTACATGCTGTACAAGAATCCTGCTAAAAAGCAAACTGGTTAAAAATACCAAGAACAAACTGGACTGGGCAGAATTCATGTCATTACCGCCTCCTTTCTTCTGAACAAGCAAATGTGAAATCCAAAGTGACGGATGATGGATTTAAACCGCTCCACTCTCTTCACAGTTCCAACAATCTCACACACGCCTTAACAACTTTCCACCAAAGATGCTCAATGCCACAACCTCAAAAGTGAGGCGGCGGAGATTCTCATAAGAAAATCTGAAACGATATCGCCTTTGCTCTCAACTCCCAGAAGCCTTTGTAAAAACAAAGCAAGTTCACACAAAGTTTGAGGCAGCTGAAGACTTCAGAGTCGTCATACACAAGCAGGGAAAAAAAGTTTCTCTCTGAAAGAACATGATGAGGAGTTTTGAAAACAGGAAAGAGATCTTCGGTGTCTGCCTGCCCTCAGTCTCAGTGTCAGCCTCATTTTGACAGACGGGGGGAGAGTAGGCTTTGAAACAGTTTGACTACAGAGAAGCAATCATCTTTTCCCCTTTTCTCTCCCCTAGTCTCTCTCTTTCCCTCTCGGTTGCACACACAGACCAAACCCTGCTCAGCTCCATTCCTCTCTGCATCGCTATGAATACAAATAAGCTGGACTAGAGATGAGATCGCACTACTGTAGCCATACTGTATGAGCTAATAGAGAGGGGAGTGTACTTCACTACGGAGGAATGATTCAATAATGATGAGCTCTGGGAATATTTCAACCTCTTAAATCCTCTTTTCCTGCTCAACTCTTGACAGAAACCAACACGCGCCATTATTGTGACAGCACATACTTTTATTGTGTTTGGTACACTTAATATTGCTCTATGTTTTGGAGGATGCTGTTCTCTCACATCAAAATGCACCTCACGTCCACAGGCCTCGCCATCTGACACTGTTTTAGGGACACGCGGCCCGACGGGCCTGGCTTTTCAGAATAAAAGGTTGCTCCATGTTCCGGCCGCCTCTCCAAAGAGGGCTGCATCACAGCTGCTCTAGCAGACAAACAGACTGAGACTAGGGAACCAAAGCCTGAATCTGACAAAAACATCACAAAACTGTCCAAGAATATCCTTTTCTGTTTGAATTCAGCTTGCACACAAGGGAATACATAGGGGGACATGGCCATCTCACCAAACTACATGCGCTCCATATGCTTTCAGCTGATGATGAATCCTTCAGCTGAGGATTAAAAAAGTTAGTTTCTAAATGAATTGAGGCATATATTCACTGTCAATACAGTTTGTCAACAGCAAGAGTACGGGAGATAAGTGTACCGGGGATACAATCTGTCAACTACATGACTTAAAGCTGCCTTTTTCCATTTCTTATTCTTGCATGAACGTAAATGTATGACTGCTGTATAACGATATCCTTTGAATATCTTTTTCTGTGCCGATGTCTTTTTTCTCCTCTCTTTCCTGATACTTCCTCTTTGATTTCCTTCTCGAAGGGTCTTCAAATGATTTTTTCTCTCGCCAAAGTGCAAGGATTTTATTTTTAGCAGTTGTTTTTGTGTTCTCCTTCAGGCTAGGTCAGGAAATCATTGGTGTTGTGGGCCTATAAAGCCGACAGAGACCATGAAGTACTGGGGTTTACAAATAAACCTAACTTTAGAAGTTTGTGATCTTCTCCCGTTGACCTTTTCCCACTAATCAAATCCTATAGTCCTCCACACATTAAACCCTTAATTGTAGGCTAAAAATTTGCATTTGTGATGATGAAACTCCCTTTGTGATGATGAAAGAGTTGTAACATCTTCTTGCAGCAGTGAAGAACTCTTTGTAACCCACTACCATTCGTGCGTCATGCTTCAAGCAGAACCAACGGTCCTCAACAGTTTGTGGCTGTACAGTTGAGCAGGTGTGGATGTGCCTGCCTGTATAAGACAGTAGAGCAAGCATGCTCAGCCACACTTCACTGGATAAATTAAATACACACACAGACACACACACATTGGTCCGATCTGCTCATTGTGCTAACAGTAGAGTGCTACAGTGTGGCCTTTGTGGCTCCCTGGTCCTGTCAGAGTCTGTTAGTGAGGCTGTCACATCAGAGTCCCTGATTCCCCCTCCCCACAGATAACACAGCTATTGTAGCAGCCCTCATTTTTCTCTAACAGGGACTCAATGGGCTTTATTGTGCCCCATCGGCAATCCACTCACTACAGCCCACCAGGAAGAGAGACATTGAGAAGAGACGACCAAAAGGCAGGGTTTTGATCAAATTCATCACACATTTAAATAATCTTTTCTTTCTTAACTTTTTGTTGTCATTATCAATTTAATTCCACTAAGCTTGTACTCAAAGTGATGGCAGAAAATGATTCTGAATTTACTTCCTGTCACCTATCTCACAAGCTATATTCCCAGACAAATTGGATGAGATAAGACCAATCAGTTCCCTTGAAATGAAAACTGTTGCTTTACACCGACCTCAGCCACAGATCACCACCCCTCCTCCGTTTCCTTGTCATTTTTGCATTAAGTGACGGCTGGGAATGTGACAAAGGGCAAGGTCACCCACGGGAATCCTTCAACACCATGCTGCCATTTCACCTGGCATCAGCAGTGCTCCTCTTCGAAAAAACATGGAGGCTTAGAGAAAATATCTGCAGCAACAGAAGCAGTGGCTGGCACCCCCGCTGAAGCGACATCCTCACTTCGACCAACACCTCACTCAGAAGCCGCAGAATTAGATTAACACTCCGAGCCCAAGACATAACTCTCTCTCTCACACAAGCACATGTCAAGCAGCCGTTTGAAGAGATTTGTTCAGGGAATGCTATTTTTAAAATGCATTCAATCATTCTGTGAAAATGATTACATAAGATCAAAACGCTGAAAACACATCATGCCATTTTTAAACTGAGGTATCAAGATCGCTGCAAGCTAGGAAAAAATGAAAAAAAACGATCTATTATCAGTGATATCTGTTGATCTGCATGTTGTGTTGTCATGAGATAATTTCTTGTATGGAAGAGTGACTTCAACTAATTCAAGTCTTAATGCTAAGCTACATATGCTTGCTGAAGCTTTATATATATTGTACATCAATGAAATCAATCTCCCAAACTCTGAAAAAAAGCAAATATACCTTAAGGGGTCTATTATGTTTTGGGGGGTTTTCCATTTCCTGTAGTGTGTTATATAGGTTGTGGTGCATGTAAAGGGTCTGCAAAGGCTAAAATCTCAACATTTCCACCAGAGGGAGTTTCTCTCCCAGACCCCCCTTCACCTGAATGAAACTCCTCCATTGGACTCCTTTATTTACTTCCTTAAAGGAGGGGTAGGTAAGTTTGAGAAACCGGCTCGAGATACACTTTTTGTTATATTCCATGGAATGCTCTTAACATCCCGATAGCAATGAATATCTTAAGTGCTTTGACAAAAAATACATTAAAAAAATTGCACAAACTTATCTCGTTCTTTTTTGGTCAAGTGCGCGTTCGTGTGTGTTGGAGGAGGGGCTCTGTAAGGAAGTGGCAGATTTTTTCCGGTTGTGTATTTTCAAATTATTGCGCACTCGAGCTGGTTTCTCCAAAATTACCAATACCCCACCTTTAACATACTGACATCACTATGTAATACTCACGCTTCTATTGACTAGCACTTCAACACATTGTACGTGTAACAGGCTAGGAAGCAGGACATCTCTAATCATCACAGAGCCAACCAGCCAACCAATCAGAGCACACTGGGCTCTGGTTTCAGACAGAGGGTGAAAAGAGGTGCTGCAGCAGAGGCAGTATGAGAACAAATTATAATAAAAACCTTTTTGAAGTCACAGTAGAGCAGGGGTCGGCAACCTTTCTGATATGAAGTGCCATTTCAAAAAAAAAAATTTATCAGCGTGCCAACGATCAAGAATTATCAACGAGGGGGAGGGGGGGGGTTGAGGAGCTTGACGCTTGTGAACTATCAGCAGGAGGGCGGGGGAGCCTCGTTGCGGGGAAGCAGTGTGTGGACCTGTCAGCGCAACTTACATGATGCCGAATTTAACAAACACATTTAAATAATTGGTTTGAACGGCATAATAATAAGGACGATCGTCCGTTCTGTGATTCTCCAGAGCACACATGTTATGATATTAGGGTCATGCAGAGTGAGATGAGATGCGAGCGAGAGAGAGGGAGTAGAGAGAGTAGAGAGAAGAGAGAGAGAGAGAGAGTATTTNGTCTTTTGGAGGTAGACATAGCCAGGAGGTGTGGCTTGGTTGAGTAGTAAGAAATCCTGTCCAGTTTGCAATGTTTCAGTTAAGCAGAGGTAGTGAAGTTTATGATCAGTGATGATTTCATTGATCAGAGGTGCTTTTTTATTCAAGGAGCGCACATTCTGCAGCATGAATGTTGCAATGTTGCATTGTTGTTTGTGGTTGTTGAGGCAGAGGGGTTGAGTGGGCTGATGATGTTGATACAGCTGACGGATCTCAGATTACAACTGTGCCCGTAAGGTTTGCTCTGATGATTTCGGCGAAGTGCGATGGACCGCCTGTCTGTCAGTGTAGTGGGGATGTCATGATCGGAGTTGACAAACTTGCGACGTGCAGCCCTATGCACATAGCGGAGACGGCGAAGGAGTCCAAGTGAATTTATTGTAGTGAGGCAATTGGGAGTGTTGTGGCAAACAAGGTTCCAAATTTGCAGAGCGGAGTATTTCCGGAGAGCCATGTCAGCAGCACAGAGGAGCAGCGGCTAGCTACGAGCTGCTAAGCAGGGGCTAGGCGGCAGCTGAATTGAGAAGCCAGCAGTGGCTAGCAGCGAAATGCTAACAAGGAACTGGGTAGCAGCTGAGTTGAGGGGACAGACTGGGGATGTGGAGAAAGAAATGGAGCTCCAGAGATCTCAGGTTGAAGAGGATGGCTGGTAGCTATGCAGGAGCTAGCGGCTGATCGGCGGCTAGCAGTGACAGCCGATCGTCGGCAGTGGCAGCTGACCGTTGGAGAATGTTTAAGTGTAATAGCTACACAGTAGATGGATCCGAACAGTTGTGATAGCTTTAGCAGACTATTTGCAGTGGATTTGTGGTTGTTAGAACACAAAATAGCACAGAAAACAGCACAGCAAACACGATTTTGGCTACGAAGTGAAGCGGCGACAAACACGCCAGCGTCCTCATTCCGCAGCGTCGTTATTTCAGAAAGCTTTTCTGATAATTACAGCATAATTAGCATTTTCTATATCTCTGTTTGTGTTCCAATGAATTTGTATCTAGTTTATTTCCATTTGGTCGTACCATCTTTAGAAATATTCTACAGTATATTTTTTACCAACAAATATTTACTAATTAGGTATATACATAC